GATCCAACAAGTCGGCACCCAAAAGTTCCTCACAAATTGAATTATCAAAGTTTGTTTTTCCATTGACCATCTTACCATTAATACGTAACCCGAGTAACATGTACACACCCTCTAACATCACGGTACATTCACCAGTTGAAAAAAAGAAAGTGTATGTCTCGGGGCGCTATCTCTCTTGTAAAGCTAGTATAAACTTTGCATCAACCGAGTAAGACATGATTTTGCTTACATGTCCGAAACCGGCGACCTCAATATAAGGTACAATTAATTCGTCAGGGGAAATATATTCATGGACACGAGGACGAAACTGAGAGACATCCTACAAAATAAATAAACACTTAGACATGAAAAGAAATATGAAGACATAAACACTTAGACATAAGAAGAAATGTGAAGACATAAACACCTACACATGAGAAGAAATATAAAGACATAAGCACTTACACATTGTCAATAGAGAAAAAAAAACACAGTGAATTAAACACTTACATAATTCTCAATGTTGGCGACAATGCCTCTGTGCATTTCACCCATTGTCAATAGAGACATTATGTCTGATGCTATAAAACTAGTTGATTATATCTGATGCTAGTGATTAACTATTTCTAAAGATGCCAAACTAGAACACAATCTAGATGAATATAGAGGAAGAATAGTAAAGTTTCAAATGAGTGCATCAAGGTAGCACCAACTAAATTGGAGACCATGTAGTACATGTGAGCATTGTCATCAGTCCAAGTGGAGAGAGACTCCTAGGCATACATAGTTGATCATAGGTTGTACACATAGGGACATACATGCATGTCAGTCTGTGTATGACATGGAGACAATGTAGGGTGCAGATTGTACATGTCGTCAATTTGAATGACGCCAATGTTCAAAAAAAAGAAGGCTGTCTCTAATTGATATGGAGAGTCCATTTAATGCTCCATGCATATTTAACATTTCCTAAGCATTGTCATCTGTAGCAAAGAAGTTCACATACGAAAAATATAGTAACAAACAATGTCATCTACATTGAGATACATTGTTAATTCCTACTACAATGGAGAGACATATGTCTCTGATGTATCTGGGTTTGGTTTTCAAAATTAGGGTTTGGTCTAATATCACAAATTATATATCAAAACCCGATTTTTTTTTAAAAATAAACCACGTTAAGTTTTATCCACTTAAAGTGCGAGATGATGAAGATATTGAAAATATGTTTGTTAGTCACGAACATTCTAGTTTCAATCTATTGAGTTGTATACTTTACTCCAACAAAATCTTCCATCTCAACAATCTCGGATCATCGATAAATCAGAACGTGCAGATTCAGATGAAACTGAAGCAGAAGACTCAGATGAAACCGAAGCGGAAGTCAACATCGTTGATAATGAAGAAGAAGGAAGCAAGACACAGGTCGACTATCTGTTGAACAACACTACTGAAGATGACGATCAAGAGCAAATACCTCCAGGTCATATATACTGTTCGCCTCAACATATGACAGACTTGGACTTACATGACGATGAAAGATCCTCAGGTATTTTTTACAACTCGTATATATGGTCAGAGGGTGAATTAAAAGTGGGAGACAAATATCGTACCAAGGAAGAATGTGTACGAGCCATTAAAAAATATCACATGGCTAACTCTGTTGATTTCAGCGTACATCAAACTCATTCGAGAAGGTATGCCATTATTTGTCGTAACAAGCTTTGCAAGTTTTGACTTCCTGCGTCTTACAGGAAGAGAAGTGCTCCTTGGAAGATAACTTCTATAAAGCAATCTCACAGTTGCACTGCCACAAATATTATTCAGGATCACCAAAAACTAAGCGCATAATTGATATATCAAGACATTTTTCCGCTTGTTAACAAAAATCCATCAAGGAAGGTGAGTATAATAATCTCTCATATCGTTATGCGGTATAATTATACTCCCTCATACAAGAAAGCATGGATTGCAAGGATAAAGTATGTTGAACATGTATTTGGCAACTGGAAGGATTCATACAAAGAATTATCGCGATTTTTAGTGGCACTTAAGACATACACACCGAGGACTATTGCAATTATGCAGACAATGTCGACATGTAGGCCATATGGAACTATTGTTAATGGAAATGAAATATTTCACCAAATCTTTTGAGCATTTCAACCATGCATCAAAGGTTTTGCATTCTGCAAACCTATTATTCAAATTGATAGAACATGACTATACAGAAAATAGAAGGGCACCTTACTTATGGCAGTTGCACAAGACGACAACAATAATGTCTTTCTCATTGCCTTTGCTCTAGTTGAAGGTGAGACTGCTGCTGGTTGGAATTTCTTCCTTGGAATCTCAAAACACAAGTGGCTTCACAATCCAATCTCTGTTTGATTTCAGACAAGCATCCTGCTATTGAGAGTGTTACAATAACCATGATAACGGATGGCATAATCCTCCTTCTACCCATGTCTATTGCATTAGACATATAACACAAAACTTCATGCGTACAATCAAAGACAAGAACCTTCGCAAAATAGTAGTGAATGCAGGGTATGCTCTAACTCAACGATCATTTCAATACTACCGTGACGAAATTAGGTTGTCAAATGCAGATGTAGGAAAGTGGTTGAATAACATTCCATTGGACAAGTGGACAAGGACATTTGACGGTGGATGTCGTTGGGGCCACATGACAACAAAACTTATGGAATCCATGAATGGCATATTCAAAGGAATTAGAAACCTTCCAATCACCGCATTGGTGAGATCAACTTATTATAGGTTGGCATCACTTTTCACAACAAGAGGCGAAAGATAGAGTGCAATGTTAATGTCGGTCAATTATTCAGTGAATGCATAATGAAAGTCATGAAAGAGAAAACTATCAAAGCTAGCACACACGCAGTTATAGTCTTTGACCGTCATAGAAAAACTTTCAGTGTACATAAAACAATGGACCACAATGAGGGGATGCCAAATTTATCCTATGCTGTCAAACTAAATAGATGTTGGTGTGACTATGGCAAGTACCAGACCTTCCATGTACCTTGCTCCCATGTCATTGCGGCATGCACACATGCTCGTCAGGACGCTTACAACCATCTATTTGATATTTACAAGGCCATTAACATTATGAATGTCTACAACAAAGACATTGCAGTGCTAACAATGGAGGAATATTGACCTCCATACCAAGCATACATAATTTGGAACAACGATGAGATGCGAAGAAAGAAAAAAGGTTGCCCAAATAACACGCGTATAAGAACAAAAATGGATATGGATGATAAAACGATAAGATTATGTAGTATATGTTGTCAGCTCGAACACAATCAGAAAAATTGTCCCGATGCCGAAACAACCTCTGCATCATAACTTAGTTTCTCCTTTCAATTGTTGTAACCTTAGATTTTGATATATTAATGACTTTTTGTTACAACAAACTTAACAACACATACAACAAACACATGCGGCACATGCAAATGATGACATAATCGCTACGGTAAGCTAAATAATGGCAATCAAAGGCAAAGTGAAAGGATGGTGGTATGACACATGTGCTACAGTGCATGTCTTTTATGACAAGGTTAGTTTTAAAACCTATTATGAAAAAAATGATGGTCAGAAAGTACAAATAAGAAATGAAGTACGATCTAAAGTTGTTGGAACTAGATCCGTCGAACTCAACTTCACTTCTGAAAATAAAGTGATTCTTGTTAATGTGCTTCATGTCCCCGACATGGATATAAATCTTGTTAGTGGGGATATAACTTTATCATTTCTTTGTAAATATTTTTGAAATAGTACAAATTGCTTCATACATATTTATCAAACTACAAATAAAAGAGAAATGTGATCCCTAACAAATATTCACAATTCGTGTCAAAGTATGAATTCGATTTTTATCTTTACTATTTACAATATCATAAATCTTTATAAATATTCAATTTCATCTAATTGAAAATCTTATAACTCATCGTGGTGCTTTGTAAAAGAGTAAACAATATTGACAATATAAACCAACTTCTAAAATAATTTATGAATTTGTTTAACTTCTTAGTTTAACTTATCAAATAATTTATCCAATAATTATTGTATTTATTAAAATGTCAACAATCTACTTAACTGCCGAAATAATCACTTAATAGATAATTTGTTGATTGATATTGATTTAGAGACTAATTTCAAATAAAGTATCTTTTTTTTAGAGACACAAAACTTACATTTTTTAGATGTGAACAAAACAACAATGAAAAAAAAAATATATGACGCTAAAAATAGTAAGAATCTTTGAATATAACTTTACAGCTGTTAAAACAGTAAAGAGGTGTTTGCTTTAGTAGCACGTTTAGGTGAAGTGCTTATAGTACGGAATGTACTTTAACCCCTTCTCTAGGAATCATTTCGATTCTTTCTTTCTGTTTTCCACTCTCTTGAGTGGTGACACACTGATCCAATTCCTAGTGAGATAGATGAAGTGTCGTTTGTTTGTAGTCACCAAGTGATAAGGATTGAGGGAGCAGAGTACAGTTTTTACAGCTTCATACAGCTGTCTACAATCAATATTCTAATCTCTCAACAACTCTGTTTTCTTTGATTTGGATGTATGCAGCCAAGTTGGACTCATTTCATCAGAAAAGAAACAATATTGGACCCTGTTTTGTCCTCTTTAACAAAAATTGTGCCAGTGTTCTAGGTGAAACACCAGATAAGCACTTGGTTTATGACTATGGATGTAGTAATTCTTATGATTATAAATTAAAGCAATAATAATTAGATATATTAATTGTTGAACCGACCCCATAATGTAAGAAAGAAACACATATTTCCATTACTGTTCTTAAATTCGCTACACAAAAGTCCAAAGGGTAGAAATAAAAAGAAACAATAATGTAACAAATATGGGGTCATGACAGTAATTTCAGCTACTTGCAAATGAGCTGTGTGACACTTTACACCTATATAAATAGCAGCATACAGAATTAGAAATGAATATAAAAAATAATCTCTAATACTCTGTAATGGCATTACGCAACCTTTTTGTGCTGGGTTTGTTGCTTCTAGTATGCCTCTCTAATCTGATGCAGGTTTCATCTGATCACGAGATAGAAATGGAAGAAGAAGATGAAGAACTTCATCTACCTAATGAGTTGCTTACTGTGCGAGACGGCAACAGGAGGCTAATGCAAGACATAGGTAAACAAAAAAAACATTACAATAGATGTTTTAAATTTCATTTATTTTTAGTATGGTTTTTTACTTGAATTTGTTTTGGTATTATGTTAGATTGTGGAGGATTGTGCAGTTCTAGATGCAGTGTACATTCAAGGCCAAACTTGTGTAACAGAGCATGTGGAACTTGTTGTGTGAGGTGCAAGTGTGTTCCACCTGGTACTTCTGGTAATAGGGAGCTTTGTGGGGCTTGTTACACTGATATGACTACCCATGGCAACAAGACCAAGTGCCCTTAGGGCCTTTACTTGTTTGTTTGAGATCTTTCTTGTTACCAACTAGTGTGCGTGTTTGGGTTTTAAAACGGGTATTTATGCTGTTGTTGTAGTATTAGTATGTTACATGTTTGTGTTTGTAGGGTTTTGTCTGTTATGGTAGCTAAGTATGAATCAAATGTAATGTATAAAATGTGGTTTTAAGGTTGTTTAATATATAAAATAGTGCATTACATTTCAATTTCGTCCATCTCTTATTCTCGTTTATTTAGACATTGGTATCATTCAAACTTTTTTAGTATAACTTTTGTTTTAATAATTATCACAAAAATTGATCCATCTAATCGACATCATTTGTGGATAAAGCTAGGATATTGTTCACTTGATAGTTTTTGTTTAAATAATAATCCAACTTATTTTAATATTTTATTTTACATTAATGTTTGCTTAATGCTCAAACATAAGTTGCGGACCTGAGTCATTATTTTTGGGTCAGTACTATGCCATTAAGAGAGAAGGAGTCATACCTTACACCTTCCTGAAGCTATGTTTTTATTGTTATATCTGGATGAGTTTTATTGGATTTTTAAAAATGTTGAGGTGTACTTCCTGCTTCCAAATTATAAGTCTTATAAAAAAATATTTATAAAATATTTATCTTAAATAATAATAAGTTACTTTAGAATCTTAATATAATATTAATGATATTTTTTTAATATATCTTCTACTATTTATTTCTCTTTTTTATTATGATTCTATTAATTTTTCTTCTTCTGAAATTAATGAAAGACAATAGAATAAATTTATATATAATTTATCTTTCTTATACAACATTTATAATGTTTTTTAAACGGTGGAAAATACTCAAAACGTAACAAAAGGAGTATCATATATTTTTTTAAAAAATTATCAAACATTTTATAAGTTTTTAATATTTTGGGATTTAACATGAATTATTCTAGATCATTCCATGTGATTATAGAATTTGGTTCAAAAGAGTTGAACCAATTTTTAGCTCTATTCTTTAAAAAAAATAAAAAACTTCAACCCAACTCATATGTGATTCTAGAGATTTTGAAATTGCTAGGACCTTTTAAAAATTGTCTTAAAAGAAGACGAGGATCGTCAGAAGCAGCACTTGAGCATTGGCTTGAACTCAAACTGAGATATAGTGATTTTTGATCTGATGATTCTAGTATTCATAACATTTGGGTCAAAGACAACGTAGTCTTTGATATTTCTTGTCCTACCATTAGATATTTGGTTTCACCGAACTGGGTTAACAATTCTTTGTGTCCTTTTATTTCTCTGTGCATTGATCATCTTGTTTATCAATTATTTGTTAATTCTGGTGTAAGATGTTGAACACATTGGCTTCGACATTTGGTCTAACAATTGTCCCATATGAACAAAATTTCAACGGAAAGTCATGAGCGTCGCGAGGAAGATCCTCCTCGACGCAAGAACTTCATCGAAAAATTCATAGATCTACCAACAAGAGTCACACACACTGCCTCGGGGGCAGTGCCCGAGTGAATTTCCACGCAAAAACTAGCATTTCTAAGAGAAATACTCTCCTACCGTCGGTGTTCAGAAGTAGCCAAATCACCACCAAACACCAACACTCTCCGGAGCCCAACATGCAAACCTAAGTTCTAAACTAGAAAACGAATTAACGATTAGACAAAGGATGCTTACTTGATCAGAAAGTAGTAGAAGATAGGAAGAAAGTTGTTGGTGACAGCGACAGACGACAGAAAGCGCTCTAAAGACGACGAGAAAGATGAGAGGAGAGTGAGGGAAAAATGAACGAATGAGCCCCACTTCTCCCTACTTATAATCCTAGCATGGGTTAATGTACCGTCGCCTATGCTCTCGAGTACCCCTAATCGTAGACCGTCATAGACATTTAATGTTTCTGACAGGTGGCTCGAAAAGGCGCCACATTTGTCCTTTCAAATCCCATCACGTGGTTTGAGGAGAAGACGTGCTTGCCTCTTCAAGTCCCCTCAATCTTCCGGACTCCCAGGTGTCGGGCACGCATTCGCGAGCATAGCTTCGACGATTTTCCACAGCATTTGCGAGCACGACCTAAGAGATATTTTGGAGCAAACTCGCGAGCATCTTGGCATCTCTCGAGCAGAAACTCGACGAAAACTTTTAACAGGCTCACGCTGTCGGGCACGAGGAATAACTTTCATGCTCTCTCGCGCGTGTAGCTCTGCGAGCTCGCAACCGCAAACCCGAATGAACGCTCTCCTCGCGAGGATTTCCTTTGTCCCTCTTCGACATACGAACTGACTCTAAGTCATTACTCCCTTGCCTTGGAGCAATGACTTAGGGGGCTACTGTTCTGGACTGGGTCTGGGGTTAATCCACCGTCGGGCACAACCCAGTCCAGCTTCACGTCGAAGAAGTCCAACACAAATGCCCAATTCATGGTAGTCGTTGGAGAGCACATTCCCCACGTGCTCCTCACCCGAGGACACGTGGCCAACTGATCCCGCTCACCTCGTGGAAACGTTCTGCCCTCCGGAACGGGCAAGTCTTCCACTTCGTAGAATGTGGGGCAGCTGACCCAGGATGATGAGCACGAGCTGCTCATCCCTACCTCCGCGTAGGAATCTTGACAGTCATCCATTATGGGCCTGATTACCCAGTCCATAATAGAGACCATTGGCCCAACGCTGGGGCTCTATAAATACCCACTTCTGATGGAGGGTCAGGTATTCAATTCGCTTCTTAATTTCTGTATTTGTCTTCTTTCACTATGAACTGACTTTAACATCGAAGTGTCTTGCAGATACATCCTTTATTTTCTTCACCTGACATTAAAAACCAAAACGTGTTGCTGGCCATCGATTCACTTCTGATCACCGGTAAAATCAATTCTAAATGTAAAAGAAGCATTTAATGTACTCTAAATATGTTGTTGATCCTCAGTTGTTGGTAATGTATTAAAATTGTGAAGTTAGCAAAATTTGTGTATGTTGCAGCTAGGGCTGGCAATGAACCGAACCAACTCGAAAATAGTTCGAAATTCGATTCGACAATTAGATCGTTGAACTAGGTTCATGAACCTAATGAGTTGAGTATGAGCGAAAAATTAAGTTCGTTAACTAAATGAGCTGAACTTGAACTCTACATAGTTCGACTCGTTAGGTTCATGAGTTAACTCGATTACATATGAGAATAATTATACTGTCTTTAAGATTAGGTTTAAATATTTAATCTAAATCTTAGACAAATTTAATCTTCAACTTAGTAGTTTTTGAATTAGACTCTCAAATGTATCTCTTGAAAGTTGTGTAAGTTTTGAATTAGTAGATTTCGAAGATAAAGTTAAATTTCAATATGATAATTTTTATTTTATTTTAATATTTTATTTTAAAAAAAATATATTTATTTAAAATGTCAAATATACTAAAATATATATATATTAAAAAAAATAGTTTTTAAGCCCGTGAATCATGTGAGCTGATCCTAATGAGTTGAACCAAACTGTTCGTGAACTTATAACAAGTCGAGTTTGAACTTAAAAAAAAGTTCGTGTTGAACTCGAACTCGAACTCGAACTCGAAACAATTCATAACGAGTCGAGTTTGAGCTTAAAAAAAAGTTCGTGTTGAACTCGAACTCGAACTCGAACTCGAAAAATTCTTAATGAGTCGAGCCGAGCTGAGGTGAGTTCGACTCGACTCGACTCATTTCCAGCCCTAGTTGCAGCGGATCATTCTAAGTACCACTAAATTCAACATTTAATTTTGCATACATGTAGTGTAAGAGCAATACTATGCATACATGAGCCAACTATTTAAGTGATAAATTTGTTGACGAATTGGGCTTAGAGGCTTCAATAATATTTGAAATATTACTGTTAAAGCTTTGACATTTTCAATGTTTTTCAAAATTTGGTGCATGTCATTCCATACTCTTTTATTTATAATATAAGAAAATCCAATACTTTGGAAAACTCTATTCTACTTTTATTTATGATTCTGACACATTTTCAAATTAAGAGTAAATTTGTTCTAAAATTTACTTTTTTTTCAACCAAACTAACACTTTGAAACTAATATTTTATTTAGTTATGCAATTTTATGCCTATTATATTGGTTCAATAACTAACTTTTCTCTCATTTGGTTGAAAACCAACAAAATCCATTCAAGTTTTTGTACTACATTTCTCACTTTCTAAAACTTTTTCTCATTTCTCTCTCCTTCCGTATCTTCCCTCTCTGCGCGGCAGAAACTTTCGCGATGATACTATGTATTTTGTTGCACATTCTGATAATAAAAATGTGGTATGATGACAATAGTCCTTGGTGGTATTGACAACATTTGGATTTAAGAGACTTCATTTTCTTAACATTATCTATGTTTGGTTTACATTGTGGCTAATTTATTTTTCACTGGTGGTTTACATTGACATGTTACGATCATGGAAAGATGAACATATTCAGGTTTTAGTAAGGTAATATTGCAGCGGATTAGGGAACATAATGCATTTGGATCATCATAAGATCCATAATAGCATATAATAAATAACCTGTAAACGGATTTTGGTGGGAACGTGACATGGGAATGAATTGAAGTCCAGTCTTTCAGGCTTATACCATGGAATTAGAAGCAGCAGTTGATAAATTAAAATAAGAGAATGAAGAACTTCAGAAAAAGTAGGTAATTTTGTTTTCTATCATTTTAAGTATTTGAATTTCCCTTAAGTGTACATGTCACAAGTTTTTCTAAAACACGGTCGTTTTCTTGTGCCCTGTTTTGTGACTAATTGGTCAAGATGTCATGAATCGTGGTTTTAGCTTACTTCATATAACATGCTAATTGGCCAATCCTCTGCCAAGAGCAATGAAGGGTTTGACAAAGGTCATTATGAAGATAACATTTGATAACAGGCTGTGCCAATCAACACAATTGGGTGCGCTGGTTCTGTTCAGCATAAGAATGGTCGGTTTGGTGTTAAGTGGTGATCCGAACATATTCCTGCTTCGAAATACTGCCTGATTTAG